AACAGACCGCTTGGGGCTAACACGGCTGGTCATCCGCCTAGTAGTAAGGATCTTCCAATTGTTCGGGAGCCATGACCCAATCGGCCAAACAAACAGGGATTGGACCATATGGCGTTGCGTTTTCGCAGGGGTCTACGACTACCACGCGGTAGCGCAAGAATGCGCTGAGCAGCCACTTGGCCATCCAAGTGGGAATTGCTGGCTGGGGGTCTGTTTGGGTGGCTCGTCTTTCTCGAGGTGGGACACGCCTTAAAATGGCTTCGTTGGGATATGGATTTCCTTTGAAACCACGAAAAAGGGACACTAACCCAAAAAGGTCACACCCGTATTCAGTTGACCCTTGTGTGGTTTGGATTGGTTTGGGGATTTGAAGCTCTTCTAGCAGAGGATCAATAGGAAACAAGGGACACCTCGAAATTAATTCAATCATATTGGCTTTGAAGGGACACCAACGAGAAAACCACCGGTTCTGAAGGGGGGTTTTGTGGGGTGTTGTGTAAAGGTGAAAAACCGGGAACCCTTGCCGCGAAAATAGCGAACCCAAATGGGTACACTTTTTGGGTGTAGGTTAAAGGGAGAGCCACCATTTCTGGGAACCTCCTATTTTAAGAGACAACCAAATCGTGGACATGTTTCTTCTGGCCTTCCTTTGAAACCAACGCAAAGACTTCCGCAAACAGGACCCCAACCTTTCGCGGGACCCGTAGACATGGCGATTCAATCCGATGTCCAGGTCCCATCCGTGTCCCCCAAGGGTTCGGATGCACCAAGTATTTCATGGGGAGCTGAAACCCTGAAAAGCATCACAGTTTTCGAGGAGTTTGGTTCACTTGGTTTATGACTGACTCGACCAACCTTGCCCGCTTTGTGCAAGTCGGATGTCTTGCCGGTTTGCCTTTTCACCAACATGTTGTCACTTAGGTCGGATCAATCTGGCCCCAATTATATAGATATCAGCCAAATGTTTTTTTTTTTTTTTTTTTTTTTTTTTTTTTTTTTTTGGGAACCTTCTTTTGAGGGACCCCTTACGTTGGTAGCAATACGATTAAAAACCCATGTTTGTTTGTTTTTTTCTCGGGGGGGGGGGTCCCCTTTTAGTGGGGATTCAAATCACTTTTGGAGGGAACACCGCCCTAATGGGGACGGGTTGGTCAGCATTGATCTTTGGGAGAACCCAGATCGCCTTTATGATTTTTTTGTTTTCAACACATTTTTTCCAGAACCTTCTTTTGACCGACCCCTTCCGTTAGTTTCCGTGTTTAATCATTGGGGGGAAGGCTCGGAGACGAGACGCTCTTCAACTTCTGCGCTCCCGGCTTCAGCATCCACGGCGCCGCCGCGCCGACAGCGGAGAGCTCGGCGGAAGCGGAGAAGGGCGAGAGCTCGGCGGAGTATGCGCCGGGGAGACATGGTATCTGGAAGGTTGGGAGGCCTCAGGTCTTCTGCCTCACTTCCCGAGTTGGACTGTATACCTGTTGGGAAAGCCATGTGGCTGTGGTTGTCAAAACCGTTTTGGGATCCCATTTTGGTTGGTAGGTGAATTCACCATCCAGTTTTAGAACCTATTTGAGTGGGGATTGGGATGAACTCACTGGGGGTACGGGGTTTTTACCCATAGCCATATTGCCTGACTGACCAGAAGCGGCTTTTTTCTTACATGGAGCCTCAAAAGCTCCAAATACCTGCTGGTTTGTTTGGGTATCATACAAGGGATATTGTCGGCTTAACTGAATTGACATTTCTCAAGGAACTAAGTCACGTCTCTTTTCACATCGCAAGGGTCGATTTTGCTGGGGATGTGATTTTGGCAAAGAAAAGGAAATCATGGTAAGATCACACCGACTGTTGGGAATGTTTCCGATTCGGTCTCGCCTTTGACCAGCAAACAGTTCTCACTTTTTGGCAGGCTCGAGTCTGAAGTTTAGCCAAGGAGAGAGATCGGGCAGAACAGTCTCTGGCTGGAGGATCCTTGGATGCAACCACGTTTCAGAGGTGGTGTTTGTTTGTTCCGTGGATGCAACTGAGGGGTCATCCCAAAATAATCATGTGTTCTTTCCGTTGGGTTGGCGTAAGATTTTGGATTTCCTCCAGCTTTGGAATTCAACATGTTCGTTTTTGTTCAGGTCATCTTTCTGTGTGGCCAGAGAGGCCTTTCCAGAAATTGCTTCCTTCAGTGTTCTGTTCTTGTTTTCTTGGGGTGAGTTTGGGTGTTCAAAGAAACGACTCTGATACTGTGGTGGTGTCTTTGCATGTGCGTTTTGTTCAAGTAGTATGATTTAGTATGTTTGTTGTTCGACAGTTGGCGGTTTCAAAAAAAAACATGATTTCCCCTGTTGTGGTTACGTCATCCTTAGATGCGATCAGTGGGTCTGTTCAATAAACCCTTCTTTCTTTGGTTTGTTTGGGGTAAATATTTCGTTGAAGAATGGAGTGACGGGGCAGGTGTACCAGTTGGCGATGGGCTCTCTTAAAACGAAAGAGCACATAATGACTTCCTCGGTGTGTCGGCACAAACAAGTCTAAACCTGTTGTTTGCTATCAATCATGTGAGGGTTGATCAATATTCCTGGCCCCAAAATGACCATGGGTAGCTCTTCCCATTTAGGCGTGGAAGTCTCATCTTTTTGGGTGTGCTCCCCAAGGGTCGCCCCATCACGGAACTTCTCATCAAGCCCCATATATATGAGCTTTGGTGGTTTGGGTTGCTGGAGTTTCAACGGGCTCACCGGTTCTTGAGGCTAATGCCCACAGCCCTCTTGAGAGCCCCTTGGACCTGTGCCATATGAGGGCCTTGAGGTCAGTCTTGGGCTGGGTCCCAAGTCGATTGCCGGAACTCCGCTGGGCTAAGGATCCCAACTGGGCACAGCAATGGCAGGCGCAGCAGGCAGGAGTTGTGGTTCCGTTTGTCCGGCCGTTGAAGAAAAGAACCTCAGGTGAGGTTCAGCGTTAATTCGGGGGCCTCAGAGATTGCTTCACCTGTTCAGGTTGACTGGATACGGGACGAGTCTTTGTTGGGTGACCCAACAAAAAAGCAACAAACAAAATGTCAGGTTTCCCTTTGGCTTCGCGCAAGAACACAAACCGAAACGGGTCCAAAGCACAAACAAGACCATCTGCACATGTTATTTAGCTCCCCCGAGCTTAGCTCAGTCCTGCCCCGTACTCCCGCTTCTTTAGGGCCTTTTTGGAAGAGCTGGTTTTCCAGGATACAGATAGTCCAGGTATGACAAGTCATACCCTATCCCTGAAGAAAGGTGGGCATTGTGTGAATCCGGAGTATTGCGTAGCGGCCTTTGGGTTGGTCAACACGGCTATGTGGTTAGATACTTGGACTTTAACTTTTTGGTTGAAGCAGTCGGATTTTTCCTTGGACCTATAAAAAGTTGAACTGTTTGCATAGGGGTCAACGGCAACCAAGAAACATGATGTTCCAAGAGGCGTTTCAACGAATTTCTTATCCCTTTGCGGTTGGGGCCCAGCTTAGATCAATTTGGCGTTATGGCTTACTTGACTTTAAACTTGTTGACCATTTGAGCGGCAGACAAACCGTTTGGACATGTTTTTTGGGCCACTCGGGAAGTGGTTGTGTCTTATTTTGCGTTGACACTTTGGTTCACCTTTAGCCAGCACACAGCAGAAAATCCCAAAGGCGACATGCTCGTTTCCAACCCACCTCTTTGTTAACCGCCACTTTGAGCGGTCGCTTAAAAAAGGGTCCCCGTGGTTGGAAAAAAGGGTCAGAACCCCCTGATTTTGTTTTATGACCCCATTTTAAAGGGCCATGGAATGTCATGGAGACTCCAGGCATATATTATTTTACACTCTAACATTGCCAACCCGCAAGGAATCCCGGCAGTTGGCCACATGAGCGAATCCAGGAAAATTTGACAACAAGACTAATCCTTGCCAAACAGGTGTTTGGATGTCCAGGTGTTGGGCCTTTCTAAGGTCTCCTTTCTTCCTAGTGCCAAACCGAAAGGACAGTTGGACAGCGACCAAACTACACCAGCATTTCCCGCTTTATAAAAGTTAGAACCCCTATAGTTTCAGCTATCTGGGAAAAATGGACCAACAGAGTATTGCCAAACTTCCACGTAAAATGAGTGGCTTCGTCTTGTCTGGCTTGGTACTTTTGTTTGGGTCGAACCAGTGGGCTAATATAACCTACACAAATGGTGATCCTTCGGGCCCAAACAGAGATTCCTCAATACCCATGGGCGGTTTTTCGGGTTCCATGTGAATCTGTAGGGGCGGGGGGGTAATTTTTACCAGATCTACCATTGCTTACCGTGGAGTCCGTGGAGTAACTCATCAAAATCCCTACTGGGGAACCCTTGGGAAAATCCAGACCTCCAGTGACGCCCCTAGTTTCCTTTCAGTTTTTTGGGGCGGGGCATGGAGTCGAAAATCAAGTACCGAAAATCAAAGGCGGTGTTTGTTCTTTTCCTGCTTGGTGTTCGGCCAAGTTAGAAAGTTCTTGGGAACAGTTTGAAGTCATAACCCACTCATTGGAATTAGCCCTGTTATTGGGTTGACTAACCGCTTACTCACTTCCTGAATTCCTGGACTTTCTGGTGAGAAATTAAAAGTTTGGTTACTTCTTTTGAGTCCCTCGATCGGAAGTGAGAACTTACTAACCAGGAAGCCTGGCTGGACTCCGCCTTTGCAAATCTCCGACCTGGGGGCACTGCAACGCTCATGATCGGTGACGGGGACGCCTCTGCACTGGGGGACGGCGGGGAATTTTTGGGCGTTTTCGGTTGTCCGTCCCCGCGCGAAAGCGTGCCTCTCTTGGGGAAAGCCGGCAACGGGTGTGTGTGTGTGTGTGTTTGTATTTGAGGGTACCCATTTTTGGTGCTTTTACAGAAAAGGCCAAAAGGACAACCACCATTTTGAGGGTCCCCTAGGAAACGGGTTCCTTTGAGTGGCCAAAAAGACAAGAATGGGATCGCTTTTGCGGTTTCGCAAGATTCATTTGACTCGGACTTGGTGTTTTAGGACCACTTCGGCTGCGAAACAAACCAAAAAGTCAGTTGGCCAATCCACCTGGGAAGTAAGTGTAAGGCTCACTCAGTCTGACCATCACACAGCACGTTGTCGGAAAGCTAAGCCAAGAAGCATGCGGAAGCTTCTATGGGCCTATTTGCAGGTATGAATCCTGAAGGGAACCAGCACTATTTGACTTTGTGCGATCGTGAGCGCAATTCTGTGGGAGCATCCCTTTTGAAAGAGAGCTCATCACTGAGTCTGACTTGTCAAATGCAGATGTACAGAACTCATATGGTTAGTCTCCAGATGGTATTCACGACCTTAGGCAACATGGGACCGGGTCTGGATTTCCAAACATGCCTTTTGCAGGTCCAATCTTCTTAGTGCCCGAAGAAGCTTGATGGATTCCCAAAAGAATCCAAGGAAAAACCTGAAAACCAGCAGCAAATGTTGCCAAGCCCCGGTGTAGACGGTACCCATTTTTGGGTCTGGGACGTGCTCTGTTTTCCAAAAGGACCAAGTCCTTATCGCCCACCTGGGGCTAACCACATGCAAAGCACAACCCTGGATGACTCACTTGGAAAGCGAACAAGGTGTGCTTGAACGGAGATGCCTATCAACAAGCGACATTTGCTGGGTTCCATGTTGCTTTCGAGGTGATGAGCGCTTGTTTCTCATGGAGCAACTCCTTGTTAAACAAATGTGTATATGACAAAAAGGGATCCGGACCCGAAATCGTGGTTTTCCTTGGGCTTCCTTCAAAACCCGCCGGAAACAAGTGGCTCCCAAAAAGCAAACCAGGTTTTCATGTTGGAAGGGGGTTCAAGAACCACCCGAAGTCTTTCTTGACCATCCAGCAGAGGGGTGTGGATCTCCATTCCCAGGTTTCCGACCTCCAGATTGTCTGATTTCCCCCTTTGCCCCTCTTTTTTGGAAGTGTCCCTAGGAGATCCTTGGACCGCGGTATTTCAGGCCTTTGGGGGTTTACTTTCATTTGCTTAAGACAAATTTGTATGTTGCCCTGGTTTAAAAGGGAGTCGATTTCACGACTGGACGCACATCCTCATTTTTCCCAGGGGGCGAAAGAGCAAATGGAAGCCTAGGAGTTTCTTGGACAGTATTTCAGGCCTAAGACCCTCAGATTTAGGGCCCTCCAAACGCAGTCTGATTCCCCACTCAACCCAGGCATGCGGCCTACCCCTCTATTAAGAAACTGGTTGGTTGATTCATTATGGGGTTAACAGTATGGCTCAATAACCACCATCACCTACCAAGGTGTTGACTTATGTTGACCCCATATGGCCGTGGGTCAAAGCCAGTGGAATCCCATTTTGGGGTAGGTGCACCACCCATTTTAGAACCTATTTTAGTGGTTGGATTGAATCGGATGTTCACTGGGGGTACGGGCTTTTGATTTTGACCCATGGCCATATGAATAAACCAACCAGTTAAAAACCTAGGGGGTGTCCCTGCGTTTGGTGGGGAATCAGACCACTTTTGGGAGTGATTCATCTGGGGTCAATTTTGGTCAAAAGGGGGCTGCCCGTTTTTTGTATCCCCGACGTTCGAAGCGCCGCCGGTCTTCGCGGAGACGCGTCAGGCGGCTTCGACTGCCTGCAGTCCACCCTCCAGGCGGCCGCTGCGGCTGGCTTCGAGACGGTGGCGACGGCAACGATCCGGGCGAGGAGCAGGCGGGGCTTTGAAGCCATGTGAAACCATATTGTAGTGATAGATTGCCTTTAAAACCAACAGGGTCGGAAAAAAAAAATGTTCGCCACATGGAAGAACTGGAACTACTGTGGATGGTTGCGAAATCCGAACTCGCACTACTTTGAGGCCATGTGAAACTATTATTTGTTGGTATTTACAGGGGAATCACGATTCCAGGGTGTCTTAGGTGGTGCAGAATTTCGTCCATCCACGGTATGGAAAGAACTACAAAGGCGGCCGCACCGAAAAAACGGTTGGGAGTGTTCCTTACAAACCGCTCACTTCCTGAGTGTGGCCAAAAACAGCCTGAACTTTCTATTTACCACTAAAATCGTCCACTCCAAAAAGTGACTAAAGTCCAGAAACGCACGGAGTAAGACCATCACCTACCAGGGTTTTGACTGATGTTGACCCCATATTAATCACTCCCAAAAGTGGTCAATTTTGGTCAACACCCTGGTAGGTGATGGTCTCACTCCGTGCGTTTCTGGACTTTAGTCACTTTTTGGAGTGGACGATTTTTGTGGTAAATAGAAAGTTCAGGCTGTTTTTGGCCACTCCACTCAGGAAGTGAGTGGTTTGTAAGGAACACTCCCAACCGTTTTTTCGGTGCGGCCGCGTTTGTAGTTCTTTCCATACCGTGGATGGACGAAATTCTGCACCACCTAAGACACCCTGGAATCGTGATTCCCCTGTAAATACCAACAAATGATGGTTTCACATGGCCTCAAAGTGGTGCGAGTTCGGATTTCGCAACCATCCACAGTAGTTCTGGAGATCGACCACTTTTGTACCAGGTTTTGAGTATGACTCAGGTGAGTTGCCAGCTTGAAGGTCTCCGGCCATACATTCCATTTCTTCCATGTGGCGAACATGTTTTTTTTCTCGTTTTTTGTTTCCGACCCTGTTGGTTTTAAAGGCTATCTATCACTACAATATGGTTATTGCTTCCAGGACTTTAGGAAATGGAGGATTTGCATGTTGTTTTGTCCTGCTAGTCTTTAAGGGAAACTATTCAAAATATTCCATTTGGGGCCGATCAACCCCCATATGGTGTTATGAGAATCATTCCCTGATAGCTCCATGCACGCTTCTCCTGAGTCCATGGAAGCTTGTCATGCTCGCAAGAGGTCGATTCACCCATTTGTAGTTATACGTCAGAAACCCACAAACAGATTCCCAAGAAACAAGACAACTTTCTACGATATGAGTTGATGACTACTTCTCAAATGGAAACACGGCTACGCGGCCTTTGGATTTTGTTCGCCTCGTCGCACCTGATTTCCGCCCAAGCAGAGCATTTGAACCCAAACTCCGAGCCCTACAACCAAAGGGAGATGGCCGGTTACCTCCTATAGCGGGAACTGGGACCCAAGCGTCGGGCTTGATGGCTAGTAGCCCCTGCCCCCCCCCCCCAAACATAATAACTTGCAGGGAAGTAGGGAAGCACAAGTTTATCCAAAACCTTAAACCCAATTGCAATCAAGCATCCATAATCTGGTGGTTCGTGGGTCCCTTACTAAAAGTTATGTTTTTAGTGGGATATGTCACAAATCCCACAATAAGAATCTAAGGAACCATATTGCTAGGAATCGCCAAACTATTGGTCACCTAAACCAGGGAACTGGACCCACTGGGATACACAAGCAGTTTTACCTCTAGGATTGAAACGGAAACGACTTGTTGTTGCCTCAAGGTGTGTGTGTGTGTGTGTTGACACAATGCTATACCATATCGTAGTGTACGACACAAAAACACGCTATACCAAACGTGACTTTTGTGTTTCTCTCCAATGTAGTATGGCCTCAGGCCTAAAAGGCCAAAGAAACTGTATATACTACACGTGCTAAAGAGCCAAAAGGCCTAAGCAACAGTGTCTTCCATTTGCTCAAGTCGCCTGGGCAAAAAAAAAAAAAATCCACTCTGTAGGATCCCCCCCCAATCTAACAGAAATACATGCATAGGTGTCCCTTTTAGGATAGCTTGGTTGAAAATCGATGGCAAGTGGTTTAGATAGGAGTTGTTCCATGACCCCATCTATTTCTCGAAAAGGCCTCCTGTGGATAAACGAAATTCTACACCACCTAAAACAGTCCGGGAATGCTGATTCCCCTGAAAATACCCACAAACAATGGTTTCGCATGGTTTCAAAGTTGCGAACGGATTTCGTCCATGCAATCGGGTGGGGTCATGTAGTGCATAAGGGCTGAATAAGGGCTGAATAAGGGCTTATTTGGGCTCCCTTCCCCTCCCCTCCCTCCCCCCGAGCCCCCATGGTTGTTTCTTGCCTGAGCGTAGGCATCCCAAGCAGCCGAAGGGCATGAAGCGTACGGAGCACATGGTGCACCTGAGGAAGCCCACTTGAAGGAAGCCGCTCAGAGAGAGATGAACCTCTGAAGGCCTGCCATTTGCTGAAAATAATATGATTTATGTTGCCCTGTTGGCTATAAAGGGAATCTGGAAAAATGTTCAATTTTTCTCCAGGGGGCTCCAGCAAATAAAAGTTCTATTGCCTGGCTTAGCTGGGATTATAGTAAAGCCTAAACCTATAGAACCATGTTAGTAGAGCCAATGGGCTTTGGGTGCTGAACTTACTTTAGTTGCTGGAGCGACACCATGGCCGCATCAAGTTTGTAAGAGCCTTCCTGCTGCCCCCGTTTCTAGACTTTCACCTTTTGGATTCGGACCATTCTCGGGGTAAACCACTTACTACTTCCCCTTTTAGTGGACTTCAGGAACTTTTGGGGAAGATCTTGTTGGTGGGTTGTTGGCATGTTGATTTCGGTGATTTCTGGTTAACAAGTCCTTGCTTTCTCTGCCCAATGCACTCAGGACTCAAGAGACCTCCGAGCACTGGTCGAGAGCGCGCGCGTCTCGAGTCGTTCGTGGAGTGCGCAGGGGCCCTGCGCTCGTCGCGTGCTCGTTGGCGTGCCATGGGCCGGAGTGAAGCGGCGCATGGAGCAGCTGGTGCGGTAAAATGTGCTGGGGCTCAGGAGAAAATGACCGAGACCGGGCGTTGGGAATAAAGCGATTGGGGATACCCTCAAAGGAAACCAACCATAGGGATTGGTTTTTCTTTGGGTCAGTCCAACTCATTCCCTGCTGAGAACTAGCACGAACATGTGTGCGCAGAGATTGGCGGAAAGCAATTGAATTGGAAGCCAAAGATGGCTGGTTGGCAATTGACAGCTTACGTCGGGGTGGGAGGCGTCGTCATGAAGCGCAAAGACTTATGAAGCTGTATGTGGGGAGGGCGTTGACCGAGTTCTCAACATAGAGGATCATAGAGGCCTTGTTGGACTCTGGTTGCATGTCGGCCTGCGTGGGGCCCAGACTCCACGCATGTCAACACTGCGTGTAATGTAAGCAGCGCCCACCTGATTTCATGGGTCATATAATAAGGTCTATACTTAGAAGCCTGTTTAGGTTTATTGAAGCCAATTAATTACATCTAGTAAGTAAGGTCTGTCTAAATATGCTTGGCCCATACTCCAAATACCTGCTAGCCGCTGTTAGTGTCTTTTTTTTGAAAACTCATGGCTTTTCAGAGTCTATGCCGATCCCGTTTTAGTCAAGCGTAGACTCATTGACATCATTGATACCCTAATGTGGGTGTTACCTACATAACGGGTAGTTTGAGCCATTGTGTTTTTGACTTTTTGGCGTTCCCTTTTGCCCACCTTCTACTTTTTGTTTCTAGGTTCTTTGGGCAAGTGAGGGTTGTATATGCAATAAAACATGGTCATTGCCCCAACCCTGTTTATGAATATGCGGGTGTTTTCGGTTTTAGCGGAGATTCAGACCACTTTTGGAGGGGAACCCCCTATCATTAAGCAGGGGTTTATGAATAGGGGGTCAACATTACAGGGAAACGAAAGCAAACCTCACATTTGCTTGGGCCCCTCAAAAACAAGACAGCCCCATATTCATAACCCGGGGTTCTTGACCGGGGTCAACATAGACAAATCTGCTTCGCCCCATGGAGCATCCATGAAATGCGCTCGTCGGCGCCTTCCTGTCAGGTAAAGTCCTCGAAAGACGCCTCTAACGTAGGCCGGGTGTTGCCGGGAGCCCGTGGCAGCTCCATGGTTTCTCTCGCCCCCGGATGGTATAGAGATCTAACAGAACCATCTCTACCTCGGAGAACTTCATTTAGAGATCTAAGATGGTTTCTCTACCAAAGCCCTACCAGGAGGTTCATCTTTTAGCTTCCAGGCGCCGTGGTTTTTTTTTAAGTGAGCCATTGAGTTGACTTTTCGAGTGATCTAAGATGATTTGCACCCCCAAACCACTGCCCTCAGGGGGTTGAAGGGGGTATACGCCAATGGCGACCCTACAAAGGGTACCCCAAAATTGGATATCACCCCATATATTTGGGGGTCAAACCCATTTTTGAGGGAATTTTGAGGGTTCAGGTAGTGCCATTACAGCGCCCGCTGACCGCGGGTAAGGGAACCATAGCCACCTTTGGGCGATGGAGCCCTTCGATCAAAGCGGAGTTCAGATCGGCTCGACGTTGCCGGTGGCGCCAGCTTGTGAGCCCTTCCCAGTGGATTTTAGGGATTTCGCCACTCATTGTAGGTAACCCTTGGTCATTTTTGATTTTTCTGGTGCTTTGTCAAAAGATGAAAAAAAAGCCCTTCGTGACCTATACAGGGAAATGGAATCACCAGTCTGTATGGTAAACCCGACGTCCGATCCGTAAGTGGGCGCTGGGAAGGACCTGGACCACTTCCTCCCCGAAAGTATACCTCCAGCACCTCCAGCTGCTTATCTTCCCATGTCCAAATCCCATGTCAGTGTAATGTCCGAAAAGCAAAGGTCGGAGCCTTTGCGCAAGAGGAAACTGAGCACTTGGAGAGGTCACGGGTCCAACCAGGAAACTGACATCGGTGTCCCTTTGAAGTCACAGTTCCCTCAAAGCAGACAGCCACATCACCCCCTTGAAGTTGAATCAACAATGACAAGTTTAAAGTCAATCCTGTTCAGTGGCTGGGTCGGGCAATTGGAGCCCTGGGCAATTGGGGCATGGCACTTTGCCCGAGTCTGCCAGGCACGAGAAGGATTGGCAAGATGAGAACGCCGCCGGTCCAAATACAGGACTTAGTTTCGATATCATGCCCTTCCATCTTATGCTTCCTAGTAGATTCCAGTGAAATGTGGACGCTCAACACGTACACACTCAGGAACTTTCATTTGGGTTCACACAAACAGGCAGAGTTTGTTTTTTTCTTCCGGTGCTTCTTCTGGGTGCCAAGCCCGACTCATGATTATTTCAACGAACTCGAGAGACTGTTCGCGCGCTGGAACCAAGCGTCCCAGCAAACCAAACAGGGAACTCACTCAATTACCCATGTCCTCTTGTCAAAACCGGTCATTTGACCCTGCCTCACATGAATGACCGTCAATGAGAGCAGCTTCGATCCCCGTATGCTGGGTGTTGCCTGAAATGGGCGGCTCGTCGTTTTTCTTTTTTTTATTTTTTTTCCTCGGAGGGTACCCTTTTGCAATGAGTCGATTCATCTTCAGGGGGTATGGTTCTGTCTTGGAAACCAAAAGGAAGCCACATGTTTTTGTTTGGGTCTTCTTAGAGAAGACAGACCCAAATAGCAAGGCTCCGTCCTTGCTGGGCGGACGGTCCCGTGTAGGCAACACACACACACTGCAGGGTTAGGAAACCACGTAGTTTAAACAACCAGACCCTGTGAAAGGGAAAGCAAAGGAAGGCTGCTTAAAGCATGGCGGTTCACAGAGTACCTTTTTGGTTTTCCGTATTGACGGCGATTAAAAGTTAACAACAGCCACAGTAGAACAGCTGTAAGCACAATACTAGTCAGGGATCCTTACATGATACACCTGAACATTGCCTTGTAAATGGTGGGTTTTCTTTATTTTGGTGGAAAACGCCATGTGTCAAATGGTTGCAAAATGTATCTTTTAAGGAGATAGTACTAATATTGCTAATGATGACCGGGGTTGAATCACTGCCAACCCCCAACCACATCAGCCTCAGGAGGAGTTCAGGAGTATCACCGCCCTGAGCCGCTTTCACCGCGGTTTGTGCAAAGTGCAGCTCTGACGGCCACGTGGCAAGGTTTTGCCAAGAGCGTGGCAGAGCCAGGCTGAGTCAAACAATGTCCAAGTAGAAAACCATAGAAAACCCGTCCTGACTTAAAATCGGGGAATGCTTCCTCCACAAAGGGGCACCCCCACAATGGGATAAACCAGAGTTGTTTGCCCATTTGGAGGTTCCCTTCATTGGAGCCATGTGTGCCAGAAGTCCAAGTCGACCAAGAGCTTTCTGTTTGTCCTAACTTTCTGCGACAATTCCTGGGCTGTTTTTTTTTGCGCACCCAGGCTCCCCCAGCGTGTTGGTCACACCCAAAGCCCAGCCAGCCCCGGAATTTCGGGAAACCCTCCGAAAAGCTGCGGGCAGAGACCCCACAGCTATCAGCAGTTGGGGAACAAAGACTGAGATCTTGTAGCAGTCACTGGGCCAGATAGGATTTTTGATCCAGGCCTTTGGCAAAGCCAGGGCCTTGCTCACAAGGAACTTGTGAGGGTTTTGGAAGAGGCGTTCCCCTACTCCAAATGCCCGCTCCTGAAACTGGGCATATTCAAGCAAAGACCTGGTTTGTCATGGTACACGCTTGTTGTCCAGGGTTGACATCATATTGCAGGGTTGACATGATACCCTAATCAGTTTTTGGAGTGGGGATAGCATTTTGTCAGAGGATTGGTGACTGAGAAGCATGCGCTCCGAAATGTCCGGCGAACAAAGAAAGAACACTTTCGCCCCATGTTTCACCCTCATTGCATGCGCTTGTGGAATTCACGACTTCGTTTCCCAGATTGGTGCTTGTTTTGTTCTCTTGTGGCACTCGTGCTTTTTATCTTATTTATTCGAAAGCCGAGTTGTTCAAAACGGATCGACCTTTTTAATCTGTTGGTGCTCCCTTTGTCCACTTTTCGGGGTCCAAACAGTTGATCATCTTAGTGGCCTTTGGAATTGCATGGCAGTTCAGAGTTTATCCTCCAAGCTATGTTATATTGCAGAGTCGACTAAAAGGGGTCATAGCCTTAACGTATTGTTTTGGGGATACTCCCGATTTGGGCCAATACTCTCCTCATTCGGGAATCCTGTTCTTCAGGACATGGTCCAAACTCCAGTGGGAGTTGTGAGGCTTCTGAGCAGGAGGATGAGTAGAAAAAGGGAATCCACAGAAAGAATACGGGGAAGGAAGGAAAGGGGTATTCCTAGCGTTAAGCCAATCCAGCGAAAAGAACGGCAAAGATCCACTTTAGATGATGAGTTTAGGCAAGCAATGGTTGCTCTATCCTAGGGGTATGAAACCTTAGAGTTTTCCCTTAAGACTAGATCTTTGGGAGCGTCTACAGCCAGCCCTCCTTGTAGGGAGTAGGGAAAATGAGGGCGTCACCTAACAGAGGGCACCCCAAACAGGATTGGTTTCCTGGAGTCTCCAAAACAGAGTGTGTGAGATCTGAAAGTATGGTTTTGGTTTGGTGTTATTTTGCGGCAACAAAACGTCGCTTTTCCATTGGACACATGTGAATAGTCTTTCACCATGCCCTCTGGCGGCGAGTTTCTCAGTTCCTCGCACGAAGTAGCCGAAATGGAGACTTCGTGCCGTGCGTGCCGTGCAACTCGAGCAAGTCTTCTGTTTAACAGAAGGCGGCTTTAAAGAACCGCTGGAGTCGCGCCCACGTGTGGTTACCCAGCACCCCTCCAATTGCTTTTTCCCATGTTCAATAAGCAATGGTTGGGCCCGGGTGCTGGTGTCTGCCTCTTGATGTCTTTGTGTTGGCAGAGCCACTTTTTGGACTCGGATAATTTTAGCGGCGCACAACAAGTTTGGTTACTTTTCTGGGCCAGTCCACTTGATCGGAAGTGAGTAAAAGGGTGCCGCCGTTCTAATTCTTCACATCGTTCTGGGGATCCACTTTAATGCCGATCGGTTTTGATGATCGCATGAACTTCGGCAGCCAAAATGTTGACTCCCGCATCCATTACTTTCACCCATCACTTCGCGAGACCCCCACACACGCTTGCTGTATATGTTCTTATTAAGAAGGATTCATTTGCACCAGCAACGAGCTTACCTCCTGGACCCTCAAACTACCCATAAAAATGGGATATCACCCCATAATTTGGGGTCAAACCCATTCTTAAGACAATTTTGAGGGTTCAGGCTGATATATTTTGTTCCCTGAGTTCCATGAAGGTCCCTCTTGGTATTCCTTTCTGTTCAGTCCCTAGGTGCCCAAGACCTCATTGTTTGAGCCCTTTGACAATTATAGACCTCTTTTTTGCTCTGGGGTCTTGGGCTCCCCGGAAATGTTTGTGATTTCTGGTCACAAAACCCCCAGGTTTTGGTCGGCTGCATGGGAAGCACACCCTTGACTGGCCCATGGAAGTGCGCCGAGCGTCAGCTTCCAGGATCAGACGGTGTCCTTGTTGGTGGTTTTGGTTAGGAAAAAAATCGACGGTGTTTCGATTCCGGGTTTACCTGGTTGGTTGGTTTGCAGTCCCAATGGCCATCTATTTCCCCGGTGGTTTGCCTGGTGGTTTACCTGGTTGGTTGGTTTACCTGGTGGTTTCATCATCTAGGGAAACCCAGCTATTTCCCCGAAAAGGACGCCGATGTCCATGATTGGAGGGAGGGTAGACAGACCTTGAAGCGCTATGGCTCACCTGGAGGCATTCTAGTGTCCAGTGGTTCCAGCCATAGTAGGCAGCACGGGGAAGGGGAAACCTTCATGTGAAACCTAGGGGAGAGTACATGGCCGGCTCAAGCCTCAAATTCCCCTTACCCCATGTCCTCTTGGTAGGATCTAGTGCCAGGTGTGCCCCAGTCTTTTTTTTCTTCAGAGGGCCAAAACTGGGTGCCCTCCCTGAAAGAACGGCACACCCATGTTTCAAGCCACTCTGATCGGCCCCCGGGGGAAGCATTGCTCTCTGAGCGATGTTGAGGCATCTACTATGGGTATGTCTTCTTCGAGGGTACCTGTTTGTTGAGGTGCTAAAGGGAAACCAAAAGGATCACCGCTACAAGTTGTTATTATTATTTATTTATTATTTTGGGAAGCGCCCATATTTCCCCTATTTCCCCTTTCGGTCCTTTTGAACATCATTTGTGCTAGGTGGGTGTCCTTGATGATGTTTTGGGTGTACACATGGGAGTGTGCTTGTAAAAAAAAAGAGAGGAAACCAGTGCGCTGAAAACATGTCCCTTTAAGACCACCCCAACAACGCAGTTTGCGAGTTCCTGGACTTTAGTCACTGTTCGGTAATCATCTCAGTGGTAAACACCACGTTTATGCTTTTTCTGGCCAATCCATTCAGGAAGTGAGACAAGGGGTACCCTCACGGAAACATGTTGGACAAAACAAACGGCCCATCGGAACTCTTCCTTTTTGTTGCATCAGTGCGGAGCTCCTGCTCCCTGCAAGGTGGTGCGTGCTGTGAAGGATGTCGGGGCCCTTGGCTCGCCAGACTGCGTCTTAAAGTTATGGGCTGGGGTTGAACATAAAAGCGATCACCTGCGATCACCTTTCCGGCTTCTTTTGAGAGGCTTGCAGTTCATGGTCAGACTTTACCTGTTCAGCTTTTGCATGTTCTTGCCTTTTGGCTTACCTTCATTTTAAATTGTCCCTTTCAACCAACAAATAAGTAGCTTGTTGCAGGGCGTCGCATCTGTCTGGTGCATATGTTCGGCGGATCGCCGCATGTTCCGAAGGAGATCAAGTTACAAAGCCCTAGATCATGTGCCTCGGCCATACAACACGGCTTGCATCATGGGATTTGGAGCCTATAACACGAGCGGGTGCCCGTTGGCGTTCTTCCAACCTTAAGACGGGTTCGCTGAACAAAACGACACACACACACACACACCTGTTGTTCTTGAGAGACGAGGAATTCAAAGGACCGTCTTGATGGTGTGGGTGTCTACCCTGCTGACCCTTTGATCAGTCAACAGATGAAGGCGTTCCCCGCAGTTTTCTGCACTTTTAGGCCGAAGTTTGAACTTGACATACAGGGCTCTAGATCGGGCAGTTCCTAACCCTGAACGGAAGGTCTGCCTGAAAACACGGTTAGCTTTCAGAAAGGTAGGCCACTCTTTCCCGGAGACCTCCATGCTTCCTTTCATCATTTTGTTTTGCAAAGGCCGCCCCGTTTAACACCGCTGAAACCTATTTTTTTTGGGCTAGGACATTTGATGTCGAACAGCACGTTTGGGGTTGGGGAAAAGAGAAACAAGGTGCCTTGCCAGTACCCGGATCCCAACCACATTTTGGACAGCAAAGGCACACAGGCCAATCTCGGCGGTTGATGCTGGACCCATGCGTCAGGAGAAGAAGAGGAAGGCCCGGAATGACGAGGATGCACCAGCGCAGCCAAACAACGAGGGCATATTATGGGGGAGGAGCTCTAATATTCTCACTGAAAACAACGGACTTACGCATTTTCCCACGTGCTCTGGGGGAAACAAGAAGTCGCATGTTCTTTTCCGAAAGGAAACTAACTGGGGATGCAATGCGGATTGTGACGATGAGCTGGGCTTATGTTAACCATGTGTACATAATGCAATGCATGGAGCTGTGTCTTTGCGTCTGGGGCTGTTTTTTTTTAATTATTTTTCTTCGGATTAGTTTTTATCTTGCAGATTAGCATAGCAGCATAGCCATAAGATCCACCACGACGTCTCTCTCTTTTGTTGTTCTCCCCTGAAAGGTGTCAGGTCTCCCAGAAAGAAGGCGTTTTTGGAAGCCCGGCTTCAGGTGCGTTCCGAACCCTGCTCGGGATACCTGGGCGGATGCGTGTTTTTGTGACGGAGGCTTTCAAACCACAAGGGTGCCATCGGGGGCCGTGGGATGATTCTACGTTGGTGGACCCCTTTGAGCGTTAAAAAGCAGAAATTTGTGTGCTGCCTGCTTTGATTGGGCGCGTTAAAGTGGTTGCATGTCGAGGGACCGCTTTCCAAGGTTACTTACATAGTGGACCACCAACCAACGTTGATTAAAGCTACACACATTGCGAAACCGACAACCAACATTGAGAAGAATCTTGCAAAAGTCACTCACTTCCTGACTTCCTCGACTTTACTGGTAAACAACAAGTTCCCGGACTTTTTTGGGCCAATCCACTCGATGGGAAGTGGGGAGTCGCCTCTCGATGGAGTCCCTTTGATCGGCCAGTTGATCAGCCCACAGCGGCGCCTGCAGCGCCTATTTTTGGAGGAGGGAGGCTTTTCTGAAGCACACGCATGTCAGACGTAGCCAAGCAATCCGACTGTAGGTAGTATATTAATATGTATATATTTACATATTATGATTATTATTATTATTATTATGATTTTTATTATTATTATTATTATTGTTATTATTATTATTATTATTATTAGTAGTAGTAGTATTAGTATTAGTATTATTATTATTATTATTATTATTATTATTATTATTATTATTATTATTATTATTATTATTATTATTTTTATTATTATTATTATATTTTATCATATCATGTTATATTATCATTTATTATATTATGTTATTATATTATAGTATTTTATATAAGTATATGTTATAGATCGATCGATCTATAGATAGATTGATGGATGGATGGATAGATAGATAGATATATATAGATAGATAGATAGATAGATAGATAGATAGATAGATAGATAGATAGATAGATAGATGGAAGGATAGATAGATGAATAGACGGTAATACATATATATATATATATACACATACCTATATACACGTAAACATTTGACCCATTTGGAGTGTAACTGTGGGTAAATATCTAGCATGCAGTCGGGTTGTTTGGGATATGTGACCGAACCTCCAGTGGTGGTGACCTCCCCTGTGTTTTGAGGCGGTTCCCTTTAAATTTAACTACCAACAGAAGGAGTGCCATGGAAATCCACTGGGGGTCTGAGGGGGGTGGTCCGAGTTGCCAGATTCACCCATCTATTAGGAGGCCCGGTAGACGAAGTAGTATACCTGGAGTCTCCGTGACCTTTAAAGAATGGGTTCTTCAACTTCGTGCAACTTAGCCTTTTGCTGGGTCAATGGAACAGAGACGAAGGACAACCCTCACAGCAAACAAAGGCAATGTATACCCCCAACCCTTTTTCAAGGGTATTTTTGAAGAACCCGGTTTTCCATGACATGGTGAATACCTAGTTGTTTTGTCATTGCAGTAACGTATAAGCTAAGCCTGGCAACGTGAGCCTTTTGGTCTCCCACTTACAGGCCTTTGGGTTTGTCCATTTTGTCCAAAAATAAAGGTCTTTGTGATGTTCCTTTTGGTTTCCTTAAACAACTACACACACACACAAGGGAGAAAAAAAAAAACAACAAGACGAGCCACCCAAATTAAATATGGTTTCAAGGCAAGTTTCAAGGCGATTGTTCTGCAATACCATGGTAATCGTCTTGAAGTGGTTTGCACAATCGTCATGGGCATGGCGAAATGAGGGCCATTTCAACTACAACCATGTGGACCCACTGGACACCACTCCCTTGGCAACAAAACAACTTGCTTGAACATGGGCTGAAGAAAGGAGTTTTCACCGCCCATCCCTACCCTGGAGTTGCATGGTTCATGGTTCTGCCGAAACAAAAACATCGGCGAGCTCATGGTAAAGATCCTTTACCTGTGGATCCAATCTTAATTCAGCTTTGGAATTAATGCAACATGTGCAGAAGAAAGATTCTTGCAGATGGTTCTTCAAATCTGGAATTATGGTAAAATTGTTCTTGCAGATGGTAAAACAGCCTTTACTTGGGGATCCAATTCTTAACCCAGCTTTGGAATTAATGCAACATTTTGCAGAATAACGGTTCTTGCACATGGTTCTTCAAATCTGGAATATTGTACCTGGAGTCTCCCTGACTCTTTAAAAATGGGGTCAAAGGGTCATGTCCGCTTGTTCTAGAGGTCAGACGGAGACTCCAGGCATATGAAACAGAGTCAGAACATCTTATTGTGTAGCTGTGGCCTTTGGAGGGCAGACTCTGGCGCCATGGCTTCAATTTCGTGCACCTTCTAGCCTTTTGCTGGGTCAATTGAGCGGTGTAAAAGGAGTTGGTGTAAAATTTGCAGAATGTAAATCTGGAGTTGGTGTAAAGTTTGCAGAATGCTTCAAACCATGGCTTGCGCGTCGCAAACCCGCAGGAGTTCAAGAAGTCCTTCTTTTCGCCAAACCCTTGGTACGAATGCCCGGAGGCGTGGGTCGCCGTCAGCAGTCGCCGGGTTCGAGTTAAAGTCCCTTCGGTGTCCCTTAGAAGAATCCCGAAAAAAACGGCAAAACATGAGGGCCGTTCAATACTGAGAATGAGGTTGTGATGTATCTCATGGGATAATTAATGATGTTTGGAGTTAGTTCGCCTGTGAAACTCCAAGGAAGATACACTGCTTGACTCTGAGAAGGGTGAAGTCCAGAATCCCTTAGTCAATGTACAGGGAGGGCCTGCTCTACATTCCTGTTCTGTAGTATTCCATGAATCCCCTAGTTTTTTCAAGGACCAAGTGTGCAAGGACCTATGGGTCTCTTCTTGGGGATTTGGACCGCTCAAATTGGCGCGCGGGTTTCCTGGAAAGTTTGCCTTTGCCACCCCAAACAGGTACCAACTCAAAAAAGACGAGCTAGACATACATAAGCCAACGCATCGAGTTTGCGGGCTCAGATCCCGCAATCCTGCGGTTCGGGATTGAGTTTATTTTGCTCAACCATGGGACGTTTCCACTCGCGAACCCAACCTTTTGTGCAAGGGGTATTTTATCGCTTCCTAACCAATGCGCAGCCCCCAATAAATACTGTATATATATATATATATCGCCTGGCAAATTCATCAAGTCATTTCTGGTCTGGTGGGCGCATTGGGTGCCCCCCTTTCCACGCTAAATCGTTATGGCAATTCCGAGGAATTCAAACGGCAGAATCTAAATATGTTTTTGTTTTTAATATCCGCTGATTTCGAATTAGTTTAAATTTATTTAGTATCGAATTATACTTGTTTGGATTTGGTGTAGTATTAATAGTATTGTTTTTTTGTGGCCTGGGACAAACACACATTGTATTATATACAGGGTACCTGGACCCTCAAACTACCCATAAAAATGGGATATCACCCCATAATTTTGGGGGTCAAACCCATGTTTAAGGGAATTTCAAGGGTCCAGGTACTTATATTTATCGGGGGGGAAGGATTAAAAGGAATCCAACCATTTTAGAGGAACAAGTCCCATTTTGAGAAAGACCTCCACGAGCATCTCATGCGTCCGCATTGCCAAGCTGAACCAACATACCGTGGATGGACGAAATCCGTTCGCACCACTTTGAATCCATTGGAAACCATAACGTTTGTTGGTATTCACAGGGGACTCATCATTCCAGGGTTTCGTAGATGGTGCGAAATGGATTTCGTCCATCCACGAAATTTGTGCCTTTTGGAGAGTCCTTTATTTTTCCCTATATCCAGCACCCGTTTCCTGACTAAAACGTCAACTTGCAGGGGGTCTGAGCCTCGCCGAGTGCATGAATTTGATTGATTCGTGTCAACTAAGCGAACAAAGCAAATCGACCTAATAGCTACAGTTGATGAGAAAGTAGACAGCGGTTTCATCGTCGCCCTTGCCGACGAGGGATTTTATACCATGTGCTTTCACCCTGATTCTTCACCCAGTGCGTCACGTTACCACTCTCGTAGGTAACCATAGAAACTTGTGTGGGTGTGGCTCAAAATTTAACAGGGAGGGTTACGCAGGTTCTGATCCATGTTTCCACTTACCAGGGTTCCGTTTTGGTACCGGTTTTTTCAGCCACAGCCGTAACCATAGAAAATCGGAGGTAAAACCCTGAGGTAATCATGAAGGGTTCCTTGCCATTCAAGGGGAAGCATCAGTCGTGCACAGCCAAGCTTTTCAGATCCTTGGTGTTCCCTTGGTAGACACTTTAAGCCAGGTTCCCTCCGGGGTGATCACCTTGTATTTCCAAGTTCGTTTTTGAGCAAGAGATAAAAAAGAACACCGTTGCCATTTTCAGGTCTCCCATCTTGACACCGGGGTGCTCCCCAACATTGTGTTCCCCCCCTTTTTGTTTGCAGGGAAGCAGCAAGAGCCCATCCATTCAGGGACCCATCCTTTGTCCAAGGCGAATCGACCTTTACACCTTTTCATGTTCCCCTTTTGGTCTATTTTCAGCCAAGGTTCCAACAGGTGAGCACCTTCCGTTTCTGGGACCGTTCCTGGGCAACTGAGCTTTTTAAGGGGCTCATCCTGAATCCCTAGAAACCAGCGCACCGGTTTGCGATTTTTTTGCGTGTGACAGGTCTCCTTCACTGGGAATCCGGGGAAGATCTACGACTACTGGATGACCAATAGGCCGGAGGTCGCGAGACATGCCCAGGGATCTTCCGGCGTTGTGTTGTTTTTGTCGACAAATCGCAGAAATTTCAGACCTTGAATCGACAAACACACTTTTTCACTGCAAAAGTGTCCTTTCAAGTTTGGCTGGAGACATGGTAAAGTCGTTGTTTGGTCGGGGATTGTCGTCGTTTGGGCGTTTCAAGTCGACGTTTCGCCCTTCATGGATTTGTCCCAGAAAGGTAAACAAGTGAAAAGTGTGTGGAGACACAAACAAGTGTCGTTTGTCCGAGAAAGCAGCTGTTCAAGAAGGAGCAGGAGATGGTTCTCCTTTGGTGGGGGTCTTCAAGCCGTGCCTAGTGCCTAGTTTGGGTGTGTCTTTGTTGGGAGCCTCGTTGTTTGTGGGTTTTAAGGGAAATCAAAAGGAGAACCAAAACGCCGGGGGGGGGGCTAGAAGCAGGCATTTTTGCCCGTGGCCACTGGGGGTCTGGAAAGATGCGCAAGCTTCACAAGGGAATGGCCGCCCACAAAGGGAATAGCTTGGGCCCATCAATCGATGGGGCGTGCAAAGATATCTCAAATGTGTCACAATCCAACCCTGGAAAGTGAAGGTTAGTAAGGGACAACCCCAACCAAAAAAAAGCTGCGGCCGCCTTCTTATTTCTTTACATAGTTCTGGGATCGGACCATTTTAATACCGGGTATTCTAGGGGTACCTTCCCCATTCTTTCCAGGGTTCCTTCTTTTCGGAAAACCAAAAAAAACCAGGGGAAACAGCCTGCTTTTGAAAAGAATGGGGAATCAACCCTTAGAGGTATTGATTCTGACTCAGATAGGAAGCCAGCCACTTGCTCGACTTCAGTACACTTTTGGGGGAAGAGAGTGGAACAAAGTCAAGCAGCTCCCGGGCCTTTACGGAATGCACCATGGTTTCAATCAATGGCTGGAGGGGAGGGAGAGGGAGCCCAAATAAGCCCTGAAGGCCTTACTTAGGGCCTTTTTGGGCGCCCTCCCCCCCTCCATGAGGCTGTGAATCCTCTTGCAGCTTCTGTCTCGGTCAGGCCGATTTTGGCGGCCGGCTTGTTTTGATGTTTGTTGCTCATTGCCTCTCTTTTTTGAGGCGATGTGGGCGCGGTGAATTCATCTGTTTCCGGGTCACAGGGCAAGGACCCTTTGGAGCCGCGAAGAAGAAGAATCCTTTTGCAGCAAGGCCTTCAACCCAGCGGTTGCGAGATGTTCGAAGCCCCTAGTTAAAGCCAACTTTTGGCGGCCACAGACATGGAACCTAGGTCGTGCCCTGGGAGAGTGTCACTTGCATTTGCTATTGAGGGGTCGTCATGTTGAAGGTTCCATTTCCATTTGAGAGAGTCACCCACATAGCTGTCCTTCTGGAAAAATTAGAGGGCCCTGGTAAACGGGGCATCATCCCCATCTAAACCAGTGAAACCTATCTATCTATATATATATATATATCTATATATATATATATATAAATATCGCCCCCCCTGACCAGATTGGTCATGACTTCTTTCTTCGCAGGCCCGCGCGAGACATCGAGCGCATCTGCGACGGGAAGGAAAGCTGTGGCTGCGCATGGAAGCAGGAGCCATGGGTCTGGGTGTCGGTTGCATGAAGCCCTATGAATATTGGGATAAACCACTTACCAACTGGTGCAGGATTTTGTCACTCACAGTATGGCTCTCGATTGTGTTTTCTTTTTTTTGGGGGGGAGGGTGCTCAAAATGGCTTGTTTTCAAGCTCCCGTTGAGGGCTCCGGGTTCTCCATTGGAGGGTTTTGTATGAGGCCTGCGTTGGAGGAGTCATGAGGGTAATGGTCAAAAGTCGCTTTTTGCTTGGGTTTGCAATAATGGTCATGAACCCCAGAGAATTTAGACAACCGTTGTACGGACGCTAATTCAGGGAACCACAACCAGCGCCCACAAGAGTTTTGACCATGGCACATGGCGCTGGCAGTTGGATGGCCGACGTGGCGTCAGCTATGTGAGCTACAACCAGGAGGGCCAAGTAGTCTTCGTCCGAGAGGCGAGATGATGTTTTTCTACGTTTCCTTTTCAGGTTTCTTTAAAGGGAGACCAAAAGGGTTTGTATCAAAATGGTGGACCTCCTTTGTGTTGGTATTTGAAGGGAAACCCAAAGGAAACCTAGCATTTTGAGACACACCCAAGTTTTCCCAAAAGAGAAGCGTATTTTGAAGAGCCACACCCATGTTGGTTTCATTTCAGCCAGTGCCCTTTCCGAGAAGGGTTGCTAGTTTTTTGGGAGAGATGTATGTTTGTGAACCCCGTAGTACTGGGATTTCAGACTGCCTCAAGCTTGCTGGGAGTTTGACCATGGCACGCAGGGCTCCTGAAAATCTGGCTTCATCTTGACTTTTGCTCCAAACTCAGTTCACAAGATCCTTGTGCAAGATGGCTGTGGCTCAAAAAACCGGTACCAAAATGGAACCCTGGTAAGTGGAAACATGAACCAAAACCTGCGTAACCCCTGCTGTTTAATTTTGAGCCACACCCAGATGGTAGTGAGTGGCATCTCTTGTGGCATCGTCCAAATTGGCATTGCGGATCGGCCAGCAACCGAGCAACCCTGGCACTCGCACCTGTTAGCTTCTTTCGCGCACCGTCCAGAAAGACCCCAGACCAACCTTGCCATGAAACGCAAGAACACCATCCTTTTGGATTATTCGTTTGGGGGACCCAAATTCTGGGTTTCACATTCAATTGCAGGGAGCAATGTTCACCCTGGGGTTCGGGGGCCTTAAAAAGAAAGGCCTTTAGGAAGAGGCCGTGAAATGTGGGGAACGTCCTTTGTTTGCAAGCTGGACGCTTTTGATTGGGTTGACAGTTTTGTGTTGGCCGCATTAGTCGCCACATGGCTTTGCAGTGCTTGTGGCTGAAAAGTACGCTTTCCAAAGCCTCTCGAAAACCATGTAGACATGTTGAAGATGGTCAATGCTCAAGGTCTTCAACTTTGGAATTTCTAGAGACATTGATCATGGGCTTAGCAACGGGAAATCGACAAGGGAAAAGCGTGAAAATACCGTGAAATTGGCGTGAACGCCCTTTTTTTGCAGTGAAAGACCGTGAAACGCCGTGAAATTTGGCAGGCGAAAAACCACTCGCATTCGTCCTGGCTGGCGTTGCTTTCTGCTGGGCTTGAAAAGGTCTTGCTGAATGGATGTTTCGGGAAGATCATGATTGTTCCATTGATGATGCAGAAATGTGCTGCTTTAACGTTGAGGCCTTCGCAAGTCTAGCTTGGTGTGGAAAAGGCTTGTTGCTGACGATGTAAAGTTGGAATTCCATCCAGGCCCCCATCCCCCAGCTAGTCAAACAAAGGATGTTCATGTAACGGCCTATGTTTTAAAAGCCTTTTACCCCCCAGGGTTCACTTTGCAAAGAACTGGAGGACCCTGCTCGTCAGAAGAACCCTCAACAAAAACAGTGTTCATACGACAAGTTCTAAAAGGGGAATCATACTGGGGTAATATGGTCCTCCAGACTTGTTTTTTTGTTTTTCTTTTTTGCAGGGGGGTGGGGTCCATTCAAAATCAAACAACGCAACAACAAAACATGCCTTTTTTCCAGGGCCTTCAAAAGTGGCGATTTGAATGGACACCACCAGTGAAATCATCAACTTTTGTGGGGCAAACCAGCTCGACTTCCTCGGGTGGCATCCGTCATTTTGAGGATGTTTTGCAAAAATGGGCCCCTGTGTGGACAGTGTTTTTGCGCTCACCCCCCACCCCCCACGGTTTTTGTTCGCATGTAACTCCAGGGGTCGCATGAGGTGTTGCTTTTGTTTTCCCTATTGGTGATGAACGAAATCCTGCACTCCAAATACCAACCAACCATGGTTTCTTAGGTGGTGCGAATTGAACTTTGTCCATCCACAGTAGGGCTGGCCTTTTTACAACAAAAGACAAAACATCAAACAGTCAACATACAACACGAGAACAAAGAACAACGAAATAAATCCGCCGCCTTTTTACAAGGGCTGGTCTCCTGGTTGGGTTGGTGGATTGGTTGGGTTGGGTTGCCTCCGGTCGATGGGTTGACCGGCTCTGGCAGGTTGGGGAACCTCAGGGGATGGGCAAGTTCAAGGAGAACACCATGAAGAGCCTGCAGCCCCTCGGGCGAAACTTGCTCGGACCTCTTTGCTTCCTCCCCTCCAGTTTAGACGTGACTTGGTTGGCAATTTGTTTGAGCTAGCAAGACACGGGCTTGTTCATTCCGCCGCCTTTTTTGTTCTCCCCTTTCTTTCTTTTTTGTTCGGACGTGTAGTTTAAAACCTGACTGGGTTGCCAATTTGTTGGGTGAGTTTCCTTGGTTGTTTAAAGAGGATGAGGAACCCATGGGAAGCCTGTTAATTGGCTTCCTTGCCTTCAACCTGGATGGCAGGTGGCAGGTTATCGTTTGTGGTTTCAGGGATGAACGACTGACTGATTTTCGCGTGTCTTTTTGTTGGGGGTACCCTTTTTGGGATGAATCTAACGGGAAATGGGCACCCATGGTTTTCATGGTTCTGTTCGATTTTGTTTAAAATGGTCCCACTTCAGGGATCCCCTCTCACTATGCTTTGGGTGAGCCAACCAATCTCCAGGGGTTCATGTCCCATTCTTTCAACAATCCTTCTTTTCAAAAACTGGATCTGTTTCCCCTGGGGTTCAACGCTGGTTGTCTGGAAAGATTCGGATCCCTGGGTTCCGAATGGAAATGGAAGTTACCCATATAGTTAGGTTACTGCCTTTCAGACTTCAGGGTCATCTCTGAGCCTACTTGGTTGAATCCGCCTATTCAGTATGTGGGCCGCCTACTCACGAAGTGTCCCCTAGAAAATATCTTCCTGAGCCTCAGCTCGCGCCCTCTCGGAATAACGAGACTGGCTTAAGGCCAGTGATCGGCGTGATGAACAGCATCACGAAGATGCTGAACGTGGCGGTGGCTTGGCGTTTTCCTGGACCTACAAAGGACCTTCAAAACAGACTCTATGCAGGCAACCTTGCCACAACCGCCAGAAAGGGTCACAGACGAGTACCCTGTTCTCAACGTGGTGGTGCCTTGGCGCCAGCCGTCGGAAGTTTTTTTGTTCGCGCAAGGAAGTAACCTCCCTCCCACGTTGGTATGGCAGTTGACAGGGACCCGGTCCCTTCAAGAGGAAACTCATCTTCCAGGTACCTTCCCATGGGTGCCATCTTAGTGGGAGGGAGGGTAGTCATGGCTAGTCATGCTGATCGTGAAGATAACGAGAATCAATACGGAGAAATTGGGGAGTGGGTCTGGGATCCCCCGCATAGCTTACCCCCCCCACCTCCCTTTTTAGAAAAGGATTGACATGATACCCTGAAAATACCGGGTATTGGGAGTAGAGGAAACATGTTCATGAATTGGGTCCAATTGTTGACAGGGGAAGGGGTTGTTCATCGTGCGCCTTGCTTGCGCCGCTATTGTTGGCTCTGCTATGGTCAGTGGCAAAGGACAAGCAATGCCGGAGGTTGACCAATTCGGCGCCTAGAGCACGCACCTTGTTGCATTTCTTTAAATAGGACTTGGGCCTCATGCTTTCCTTGTGTCCCTAAAAACCAAAAGGAGGCTTTTCCGAGTCCGTTTTTGCAGGCCTCGTTTTTTGTTGTATTATTATTATTATTATTATTATTATTATTATTATTATTATTATTATTATTATTATTATTATTATTATTATCATCAAAGTCACCCGCAAAGTACTATAGGTTGAAGGGAAACACCCCCAGTGATTGACATTGACACCCAGAACAGGACCCGTCAAATTATGAACCGTTTATTCTGGGAAATCTAGTGACCCCTGTAACATTCAAAGAATTACAGTACCTCACATCTTTTTAGTTCAGAATCCAGTATGGCTGTGGCTCAAAAATCCGGTACCACAATGGAACCCTGGTAAGTGGAAACATGGACCAAAACCTGCGTAACCCCTCCTGTTGAATTTTGAGCCACACCCGTATCACCTCCGATCAATCCAGTGACCCTAATCCATTGAGACACTCCCGATGCTGAGGACTGGTACTTGGAGGTGGAGGACACCGAATTTGAGCTCCCGGGTGGGAGCCGCGAAGATTCTTTTTTTGATGGAAAACCAGGGGGACGAAACCGACAGTCCCATGTCCATTTGGGTGGTTCCCGAGGTTTTGTGGCAAATTCATTTGGGTGTGTCTATGTTGTTTCGAGAACCCTCGAGAAAAATGTTTCGGTTTCCTTCCGGTCTTTGAAACCACAAACAAGGGCTACCGAGCCTCCAAAAAATGACACACCCAAGTTTCGACCTTGATAGTATTGAGTTTCCCAGTTTTAAGAACATAAGTTTTGTAGAAACAAGTACATGCTGGTTGTGGAGTTTTGGAACCAGTTGAAGCGTCCAGGAAATGGCACAACGCTTTCTGGAGGAGAACCAGCCCAATCAGACGGTTTCTACCCCGAAAGCCACTACTGTTAGGGGAAACGGGCAAATACCCAACCAGTGCGTACGTAGTGGCTATGAAACGGTTGTATATCCCATTTAACCCTGGCGGGTAGTGGTTTGGGATAGGGGAAACCATCTTATATCAATCACATGTGTGTGTGTGCCGGTGCGAGGTGTTGAAAGGATGGATTTGGGTGTGGCTCAAAATTAAGTTGGTCCACGTTTCCACTTACCAGGCTTCCATTGTGGTACCGTTTTTTTGAGCCACAGCCATCTGATCCCTGTTGCCAAGCGTTTCTTCGAACCTGTTGGGCCTGCTGTCAAGCGAAGTTCTGTTGGTTCCCTCGTGGGCAATTGGCTCAACTGAGCCAAAGCGTGGCGTCTTTTGCCAGGCCCCAACCAGAAGGTGCGTCTTTGTGGCCTTTACGGCCTTGGGTCAAACATAGGTACCGAAAAGGGATACCTACCATTTGCTTAAGAATATCTTATATTCCCTGGCTGGTTTTGAAGGAATCTTTCACTACTGGACGTATGTTTATTCTTTTCAGGGGGCTTAAGCAAATGGAAGCGGAAACATGGACTCATACCCAATACCTAGACTCTCCATGACCCTTTAAAACAAGGTCCACGATCCCATTATTTGGGGCAATGACCCCATTTTTTAAGGGTCATGGAGACTCTAGGTACAATCTTGAGTGGACTCCTGTCTTTGCCCCGTCGAGGATTTGGGGAAAAAACGTACTCGAGAGCCTTTTAGCCAGGCTCCAGGCTAGGACAGGGTACCATTTTTCTTCCCCAGAATTAGCTCCCCCCCTTTTACTTTTTGGCTTTTTTGGGGGTCCCTTTGTTTTCCACTAACCAGGCAACAAAAAGCATTTTTTTTGCTGGGGTCCTAATTCCAGCCTAGTTTTTGAGTTTGACTCAGCTGGGTTGGGGAGGGCTTTGGTTGCCACGTCTGTGATACCAAGGAGCCTGCACTTCACATGAATCATTTGTTATTCAGCTCTTCCATTGCGTCCAGCTGTGACTATAGGCTCTTCTTGCGCGTGACAGGGGGTCCCTGCAAGAGGAAACGTATTGTGCAGGTACCTGCCCACAAATGCCATGTTGGTGGGAGGAAGGGTGAGCCTTCGATATTTTGACCACGTTTGAGATGGTTTCGCTGTAGCCATTGTCCTTTTTGGTTTCGAAGGGAGGCTTTTTTGGTTCCCGAATTACCGGGTACTAGGATGGCTTGCCGGGAAGCGCGAAAAAGCATCTGGAGACTCCTTCCGACCCTTTGAACATGGGGTCATTCGCCAGAATTTCGGGGTTAGGACCCGTTTTTCTAGGGGTCATGGAGACTCTAGGTGCACGAAATGGGGCGACTTCTGCGCGCCTCGCTCCCATCTTGGCTCTGTGCTCCAGCCGAAGCACATGACACTTGGGTGGGGCTGAACGCTGGGCGCTGGGTGCGGCCCAGTCTGCTCCTGAGACGGAATACGAGCGCGCAACCTTTAACTAGGGCTATTTTCGTAGATGGTTCCTCTATTTGTTTGACTAAGGGAGTCCCTATATGAGCCTTTGTAACCATGCTGTTTGAACCAAATGTCACCGGGTTTCGGGCTCTGCTCGTGCGGGTGTGATGTTCGGTCAACAAATCCCTGGCAGCTCTTTGGCGTGTCTGAACTTGCCCCGCCGAGACCTTTGGCAGCAAATGGCCTTTCCAGTAAGCCTGCAACAGGTTTAACATCCTTTTGTTCAGAGGGGCTTAGGAGCCGTTCCTAAAAGATAATTAGACGTTGAAGTTGCTTGAGTTTCCCTTCATTTTCCATTTTATTTGAATCACTTTTCCTAGTCAGGGTCTGTAAGACACGCGTAGATGTGGATGAACATAGTGTGTGTGTTTGAGGCTCAGCGCCCCTTTGTTGAGGCCAGTTGGTTCATACCTTTTGGTATCCAGTTTGAGGCCTGAAATCATCCGGTTTGTCAGGTTCATTCAAGTTCCTTTTGGCTGAAATGTGTCAGTGGACCCCCTGCGTGATGCCACAAACAATGCAAGTAAACCAACAATGCTCAACCACAAAACTATAGAATTATATTCGCAGTATTGACCCCTTGCAATGTTGACCCTTCCACAAGTTCCCTTCGCAATATTCGCCCAGCTGGGAATGCTGGAGGCGAGAATGGCCATGTCGCAGACCGCCGGGGCCCCAATCTGAATTCGTTCCGTTTTGCAGCGCTCCAATTAAGGTCCCAACTTCAATGAAGACCCCCCAAATCTGTACACTCCCACAAGCACACATGGGTATGTGTCAAAACAAGGTGGTTTGCTGTTGGTGTCCCTTGAAAACCACCCCAAATGGGTAGCGAGCCGCAAAACACAGACCTACATGGAACTTGAAAGCATTAATCTTGTGGCGGCCGCATTCGGGTTCGATCGGGGCCAACAACTTCGCTAGTGAAACGAGCGATTCCACCCACCACTTTGGGATTCCTGAGTTCAGCTCGAGGAAGACAACCATAGTTTCTAGGGGTTGATTCCCCATTCTTTTCAGCCATCGTTCTTTTCAAAAACCGATCGCCATTCACCCAGGATTTTTTGGAGTTTTCTAGAAAGATTCGGATCCCTGTGTTCAGAATGGAAATGGAAGTTACCCCTAGAAAAACATGGCTCGACCATATGGGGGTTGATCAGTCTGCACATTTGGGCAATGTTTCCAAAACCTGAAATAAACAGTTCCCTAAGTAAAGGATCATTTCAGACTTTAGGGTCATCTTCGAGCCTACTTGGTTGAATCCACCTACCTAGTATGTGGGTCGCAGCCATGTGGGTGGCTGACTTGTAACCATGCCCTAAGAATCTGAGAGATGGATGCCCTCAGCGTTTTTTTTTTTGTTTTGTTTTTTTGTTTCTCGATCCATATAATTTATTGGTTTGCGAACTTGCAAACAAGTGACTTTAGCACAACAACGTATCCACTGACAGCAAATAACAGGTTTTGTACATGCACAGTTTGCAGTACCAAGTGTTTTTTGTTTGTGTTTCCTTCAGATCCTCACTGATTAGCCCATTCTTACTTTCCCCAAAAGCAGGCCACAAGCGGATGATCTGAATTGTGATATTTTCCAACGCCGCCCCCCACTAGTTTAGATGGCTGGTCTTTGGTGTGTCCGTATCGCCAGAGACCTTTTGGAAACAAATGAGAGTGAAATCCATGAAGAGCGGTCAAGTGGACATGTGGCACACCATTCTCTCAAGCTGTGGCTGGCTGAGTGCATCATGGGAGCCAGCATCCATGGATGGTTGTTCCAGTGATTTTGCAACTCTAGGGCTACCTTCCCCATTCTTTCCAGAGATCCTTCTTTTCAGGAAACCATCAAAAACCCAGGGAAACAGCTGGTTCTTGAAAGAACGATGGTTGAAAAAATGGAAAAGGAATCAACCCCTAGAACTACAGGTCCAACGACCTTTTGCTCATTCGGGCTTGGAGCAACCCATTTAACGCCCACACTCAGAACAGTACTTGGGTGTTCGGTGTTCGGACGGCTTGGGATGTTTTGAGATGTGACGGGAGTAAATTCTCCACAAAGTGTAGTTTTGAAGGGACTGCCCCGTCGGATTTGTTCAGCGCCGGATCTTAACATAGCGGCAAATGCAACAATGCTGATAAAAGGGATCCCCGAGTAAAGGACCAAGTTAGTAAGTTGTAGGAAACCTATCCCCCACTTCTAGGGTTTGATTCTCCATTATTTTCAACCTTTCTTCTTTTCAAAATCCGGCCGTTGTCCCGTGCATTGAGATTTAGAAAGAAGGATCCCTGGCAAGAATGGAATTGGAAGGTACGCCTAGAAAGGTCAGACTCACTTTTTGTTCAACCCCCGTACTTCAAAAGGCCTTCAATGGGAAACCTCCCCACTCGAAAGTCTCCTGTGGGGTTCACCTGGCCGAACATCCGAACTCCGCTGAGGCCACGAGCGCCTTCGCTGGTGCCAGCGGCGCAGGGTCTGCCTACACCACGGGCATGCCCAAACGAAAGGCCCACGCCTGCGGCTGATGGGTGACTCGCGGCTTTTGCTTTTTGCTGGCGGCCCGGACCGTGGGTGTTTGCCTCTATAGAAGGAAGCCCCATGGAGTTGTGTTGTTGGGTTTCCGACTACTCACTTCCTGAGTTCGGGCACTTTGAGCTGTGTGTGTTTGCGCCATTTTAATGTTGACTAGGAATTTGGATTGTGTTTTTTGTCAGTCGACTTGATCGGAAATGAGCCTAACTAAGCAAACAGGAATTCCAGGCCCCAAAAATAGAACACATCCACTGGCTGCTGTATTAGGGTTGCCAAATCAACAGGTTTGGGATTTATTTTGTTTGGCCAAGCCACTGAAGTGATGATCCTGCTGCCCCGCTGGAATACTCCCGGCCTTTTCTCGGGCCTCTTACTGCTTCACTCGTTTTCACTTCCCATGCACTTCGGCAGTGTTCCGCAGGCTTTGCAGGGTTGCGTGAGGGTCGAAAAAGAGCGCCTGGTGGGGATACCACCTGAGCTGATTTTTCTCCAGACCACGCGTCAAGATTTAGCCAGCCCAAAGCGAATTTTGACCCTTTGACCTGAAGGGTTTCCTGGTTTGGTCCATTTGTCAGGCGCCAAAGGGCAACCTTTTGTGTTCCCCCCATGTTGTGCAGAACACCTTTCTCCCTGAACACCCCACGCATCAAGTAGCCCCAAATTGGTGATCTGAATCAGTGGGGACTGGCGATTTGAAGGAAGCTGAGAATAGGACAGATGTTCAGAAGCCTGCATGCAAGTTGTGCTCAACGCCCCCTGCAGCAAGCGAGCGTGGTCGAGATGCTCGAGTGACCTGCCGGAGCCCGCACGTGGAGGTGTCTTTTTGCTGAGGGCACCCCTTGTTTGGCGTTTGACGGGGGAGCCAAAAGGAATCCACAACTTTCGGGGTCCCCTAGAAAAAGATGCCACGTGTTGTGAAATTGTGAAATTCGGGCAGTGGGGTTGTGGATTGTAACAAAGAACAAACCTAACCCGCCGTTGCAATCAAGGTTGGGCGAGCATGTAAACAATCACAAGCTGGGTTTCCTGTTTTAGGGACACTCACAGAAGGCTGCTTGAAGCATGGCCTAGGAACCCGAGACCCAATTCGAGGCCCTTGGGGGTTCAAGGGCCTCATATTGTCTCGGGCTCAAGCCAGGCAATTCTAGACTTGATTTGCCCGACCCAACTGGCTTTCCATGTGGCTCAAAATTCAAGAGCGGGGGTACGCAGGGCTTTTTTCCTTGGCTCCAGTTACCAAGGTGCCATTTTGGTAGATTTGTTTGAGCCACAGCCATATAGGAACCATGCACCAGGTACGTGAAGAGCTTGAACATCGATCCCATACGCGAAGCTGACATGCTCTGGATTGCTGAGGAGGCGCGCAGCTCTTGCTCGTTCTAACGGTGGAAGCACATACCCCTTGTTCACGTCGGTTCCTTGGCTTCCATGGTTTCCAACCTACTTTGTAGAAAGAGGGGGTATGAACATCAACAGGCCTTTTGGGTTCATTTGTCCAAGGGGGGGTATGTACTTTGGCACCCCTGGAACCCACTGGCCCTCGAGCTTCGCTCAAGGGAATGCCGTTGGGTCGACCAAGCTGCCACTCGTCAACTTATGAAACCGTACAGCCATGCCCGCAAGCGAGGTGCCCACTGTATGGCCTTAACATGGCTTTAAGGCTTGCTAAGCCTTAGTAGGCCTACAATGGCCTGCTTGCCAGGGTGCCCCTAAAAACCCCTGTCTGGTCTCATAAGAAATGAAGATTGCTCACCAAACCTTTTTTGGGGAGGTCTGATTTTCTGAGACACGCAGAAAAAAGCCGTCCAAAAGGGGATTTGATTCCTGACTTGCCCAAAGCAAACCCGACATGTTATTCTTTTGCTTTCGCTGATTTGGTCCATATGCAAGTCAAGGTTCCAAAAAACTGACTCCCTGAGTTCCTGGACTTCATACGTTTTGGGAAGATCATTTTGGGGGCAAATGAATTGTTCGGACTTTTTGAGGCCAATCCACTCAGAAATGAGAAAAGGCTAACCTTTTACTTCTAGATTCTTTGGGCAAGTGAGTGATGTTTGTGAACAGCGGGAGAGTAACTTGGTGTGTGGTTGCAACCACTTTTGATGCAGAACCCCAGTTAGTTCCAATGCCTCTTGATTTGGAGGCAGGCGGATACTCGAGAAAGGTCCGGTTTCCTCCAATTTGGCGAGCAACGGACAATAGTGGGGTATAGGTTTTGGGGTGTCGATGCTGCAGGTTGTTGGTTCTCGTTGATGGGTGGGCCTCCATAGGCTGCTGTCGTTTTCCGTTAGTCGGTTGCTGAAATGGGTATGGGTGTTTCCTAACCACTGTCCGGATCTTTGGAAGGTTTGGGGCCTCCAACAGGTACCTTCATCTTCAACGTTGATTTTGAGCTTCGGATGTTGGACTGTGTTTAATCAACACACCCCTAGGAGCCCCTTGGACCTCATAAATTGAGGCCTTTCGGGGCTAAAGGCGCACATAATTTCAGGTCTTGGGGTCCTAGGAGGCACCCACAACCGCATGTTAAGCCTGGTACTGGGAGTACTTTTTGAGCGCCTCTTTGGCCATGGGGCAGAGGGATTGACGACGTGCCCGAAGGTCCTCCCCAAGGCAAAAAGGCCGATCTCCGAGTCCCAAGAGCCCGGACCAAGTCCGCCCGGGAAGAAATCCACCCCAAAATGTTGGCGAATGGAAGACAGGCGGTGGATCTTGAAGGGAAGTGTTTTGTCTGTAAACACAAGGACAGCATGAACCAACTATAGAATTGTTTTTCGCGTCTTTCATTGGGCTGCTTGTTCTTGTGCTGAGTGGGGGTGGGAGTAGCTTGCGGCTGTGGGGTGCCAGGCCTTCAACGCACCCTTGCCACCTGGATGGACGGAGCATCAGGTCCGATCAATCAGATGGGGAAGGAGTTGTCCAAGGTGAACCCTGGATTCACATAAGCTCGCGTGATATCCCCACCAGCATGCGGTGCTCTTTTTGGTGCTCACATCACCCCACAGCCCTTGCAGAACTGCGTGGAAATCTGGTGGAACCCTCGTGGAACCCTCGTGGAACCTTACCTCAGGGCCGGCCCAGACCACCCCGGAGCCTGGACTGAGACCCCAAACCTTTTAGCTGGGGAAAAACCCTCCACGACTTCACGACGTGGTGCCCTTTCGTGGGAATCCGGATCATTTTTGCGGGTCGCACCCGTCCCCTATTACTCGGCCGTTTTTTTTTTTCCATCTGGGGTCAAGCCCCAACAGTGTGGGTTGACAGCTGGGGGACCAGGGGCCTGGCTCGAAGCTTGGGCCAAAAGGCCCGAAGCACCTGATTTCTGATCGAGTGTCCGGTGTTCGAGATGCGAGAAACACCACCAGAAGCAAAATCTGCTGGGATGAATCTGCCTAGAGTCGCCATAAGCCTTGTCAATTTTGGGTAAGGACCCCTGCTTTCAAGGGTCATGGAGACTCCAGGTGCCAGGTTCGAGTTATCATTCCGCCCCAGGTTCATGTGTTGATGTTCCTCAAACCCTGTCAAGTCATATTCGACCCAATCCGCGACGAAGACTGCAAGGCTACGGGCGGATCCCTCGGTTTGACATCGAAAGACTTGAGGGGAAGCCCGTCGTGTTCAGGCATTTTGCACCACTGGGCTTTCTCCAACGCTTCCCCTGGTTAAATGCTTATGCTATGTTTCATGATTCATAATAGCAGCCCAATAGTGATTATTGAGGGCCATTAGGGACCATTAAGGGCCATGACGTATTATATTGGGAACTGGAAGCACTGGGATCCCACTCAGCAGCGCTGTGAGCGCACCAAGATGGGGGCCAGTCATGTTCAGTGCGACAGGACGAGCAAGGGCGAGCCTACTTCCACAACGCCTCCAGCGGCGAATCTACATGGAAGCACCATGGCATGGCGTGTGTGGGCTTCGAAGCTGTTCGGGCAAGCCGCAAAATATGATGGTTACGGAAGGGGTGGGCCCCTTTTAAAGTCGGCCACCCCAAAAAGGAGCGCCCGGATTTTTGTCCATGGCTGGGATGGCCAAGCTGCGTTGGTGGAGCGAGGATCCACTGGACTTCCGCGAGCCAAGAAGTCCAGGACTGGCGTCGAAGGCGGATGTGGGTACCCCTGTTGGGGATATCACCTGGGTTTAGTTTCTGGTATCACGGAAGACCGTTGGTCTCTGAACAAATGCCAACCCAAAAAGTCATGGTATTCGGAGCAGGGGATATGACAAAGTCATTCATGGCCCAAGGTATCACAGGCGAAGCGCGCTCTCTTTGGAGCGCGCGCTTGCAGCGCGCCTTGCGCGCGCGCGAAAGAGAGCTGAGGCATCCCATGGATGATTTGTTTCGAGAGATTGTGGACTACCAGCGCCGGGCGAGCCTCCCACGCTTTCAGATCCGATTTCGGGCCACCGCTGCCTTCGTGCTTTGGGCTGTGAATCAGTGAGCCCTACTGTAACGGAGGTTTCGCGAAAAAAGAAACTCGCACCACTTTACAACCGTGAGAGACCTGTTTCTTGGTGGTGGTGCAGGATTTTGTCCGTCACAGTGTCACAGTATCAACAGCCCTACTGGCTTTCATTAAGGGGATCCCCCGCTGGTTCATATGCGGAGAGAGCCAGCAAGGAACGGTCGCATTGGTGGCCCTGTTTGCGACACCGCTTTGATTGGTTTCAAGCACATTTTACTTGGGCGATGCGTTGATGCTTCTGTTGGGGAATCTAGCCCTGAATCATATTGTCTTCCAGTGGCAAGTGTCTCCGTCTGGTTCCAGAATTGAGGGGTTAGGCCCGGTTAGGAGCCCTTTTTCTAGGGGTCATGGAGACTCTAGGTTGAGACATTCAAGTTTCTCCTTTCGACCACAGGACATGCTAAATTTGCCCACAGCCCCCGTGGTTTGCCGGCACCCCCTAATCCACCCTTGTCCAGCACGTGGTTCAAGTATGGCACCCCTTTACTACTCAAGTAGCATAACTCCTGCAGCCATACCTGACA